TTTCCTCTGACAACTTTAGCCAATCGTCGTTTGAACTGTTCAAAAAACATAGTATCTTGCCTATCGATTACAGAATTTCATATTTTCTAGGTATCGTAATGTATATGGCAACCAATGGCTTGGCGCCTTTATATATAAGTGAAATGTTCAGTCCTATCTCCCAAACCCACAAGTATAGTACACGTTGCTCTCTTAAAAATAATTTACGCATTACTAAATGGAAAACATCCATGGGTCAGAGGATGTTTCAGTATAGAGGGGTAACCCTATGGAATAAGTTGCCATTCCATATCAGAAATTCAGCCTCTTTAGGCATTTTTAAGAAAACCTACAAAATTTATCTGAGTGAAAAATTTGTTGTAAATGGCTCAAGCCTATAATATGTATATTGGGTTTTTGTTCCTACAGAGGGCCCAATGAAAATTACTTTATTGTATATTGGCCTACCCTCTTTAAATAAAGTGTTAAATTAATAAATAAATGTAACATATATCTAACATTTTATATCAATATGTTCATAGTTATTCTAACCATGTAAATGCTTCTCGATAATAATTATTCAGCAAACGATCGGCAAGATTTGAACCGATTGTCTGGTCTTGCGATTTATTGTGGTATTATGTATCATGAAAACATTTTAAGGTGCAGGCGTAAGTCAGTTCATAAACAAGAGAACAATATGCTTACACAACTTGCTTATGTTTAGCTGGAACGGCTATCAGCTCATTGTTTATTCATAACATAGTGATCAAAACTACCAAATAGAGCATTTGAAAACAGTCGAGATTTTGTGAAATACACATACAGTTATCAGGGTATCTCAGTCTCCAGCATACTACGACACTTTTTTATCTTCATGTGGACAACAAAGGGAATCATTTTCGTCCTCTTATAACGTGCGTCACAGTCACGGCTTATTTATGTTCTAGTACTATTTATTACACTGGTGATTATAAGAACACAGCACTGAAATTTAGGGAGAGATTCAAAAATGTGATATCAGGAATACCCTAACCAATACGTCTCTTTATGCACATAGTTACGCTATTGTCAGTATTCATTAGACCCAGTACGTTTGTAAATTAACAAGCTTTGGAGATTGAATACAAATCTAGGGGATTATGTTTTAGTTTATTGAAAGTATTTTGCATACATTAACCCCATTTCACAGTCACAGTTTGGTAACTGGCACATATGCCCTATTTTTTTTATCTTCGGTTCTTTTTTAAACCAATAAATCTTGCTGTTTTATATCATGTCATAGCGTAACTGTTAAAAAACTCACGAACCATTGTTTGATTTGTCGACAGTGAATACAAGTTTCTAATAGTAATTATGCAATGTATAATGGTGCTGCAAAGGCTATTTAAATGAACCTTAGCTGACAAACATCAGGCTTTGTAAATCCCCGTAGCCCGTAGCGTTCGAGTTGATGTACTTTAACGAAGTAATACTGCGAATTTGGTGCGTTTTAGATGTAGTATGTCACAGTATATTAACTCATTTTGCTTAGACTGAAAATGGCTGATGAATTGGCCAATGACCTGTACATAGCATAGTTGCGCAATCACCAAAGAAAAATGTCCTCTATTGACGGTTAGACTGTTTCAACAAGCCGAAATATTCGTATTACAGTTGCCGTATTAATAAGCATATTTCATTCCTTAAACTCTTTAAAACATACGTTGCTTTATTAAGGGAAAGAGGAAACGTTGATTTAGATAGTATTTGGAGACAAGGTTTCGGAATTGAAATTACCCATAAGGACTGGGTAAAATCCCTGGGAATGAGCGTTCCCTCTTCAGCAAATAAATCATACCAGTTCCTTTCTTGTGTATCATGCTAGTATCAGGATGAACCACACTTAAATTGTGTGAATGGTATTATGATCTCTGTTTCTATATTTTAACATTTGTTTTTTGTTGACATACATGCGCGCGTGCAAGCTGATCCTAAAGGTTATGTTTTTGGCAGGAACAAACCAATATTTAGTTGACAGCTTATAAGGCATGTCATTGTTAGCGATTGTTCATAGTTGGTCAAATTTATTGTTAGTTAATCCCTTACTGTGCGTCAGACAAATATATGCATATGTTATGACAGAGAATGCTGGACTTGCATGCACTTTGACAAATTATTAGATTTTCTCATTATCATGATTTGAGATACACACACATATACACTTAATAGAAATATATTTATTGCAAGAAAGGGAAACATGACGGCAATTATGCGACAAAATATAACACAAAATACGCCCTGTGCAGTCAGATACTTATCACTGTTTTTTTAAGCTGACATCTGGTATCATGCGTTGGGTAACACGCGGGATGATTGACAAGTTGTGATGCCATATTTCTCAATCAAAACTCTTTATATTAAAGATTAGTTTCATCAGTAGCTCATAGCAATTTCTGCTTCATCCTGAAAGAAGACGCCATGCATCGTTGTCTGATCGTGTTCTGTCTCGTGATCCTCGCGGTGAGTAATTGTATTCCATACGTTCACCCCCACTTGATTCATTGCTGGGTAGGGTAATATAATATCTCATTTTTACCAAAGTAGCTACAAAACCTATATTCATATTTAAACCTAGTACATTTTGTATAACCCGTGTGTATACCCCAGTCATTCATGTTTGGTGTTCTATGTGTAAAAGCATCAGACACAAACTAGTTGTTTATACCTTTTGTAAAATCCATTATATATAATGATATAACTCGATATTTTAATTTATGTACTAGACTATTGCCAGTAACAGA